TAATGAATAATAACAATATATGTTAATAATTATAAGAGATAATGAAAATGGAAAATAGTAGTGTAATGATAATGATGAATGATTATTACTATGATAACAATAAATGACCAATATGATGATCGATATGATGACCAATATGACGATATGTTTGATTATGATGACAATATATTATAGTTATGATAATAATTACAGCTGTTGTTATAGTTATCATAGCAATTATGATAATAAATGTAATCACGATAAATATTATAATAATAGCAAATTTGTAAGCGATAATGATAATGATAATTATAATGAATGGATGATGATGATGATTCCGTAGTAGCATTTCATTTTTTCTTTCCTCTTTGCCTAAGTTATCAAATTCACTTAAAACCAAACTTTTTTTTTCTCAACTAAATAATTAAACTTTCTACCACTAATTACTACTACTACTACTACTACTACTACTATTTCTAGGTCTATTATAATATCTAATAAGATTTGATTAATTGAATAAAAAATAACTAGAAGCAATGACATTATCGCTTTGTCCAATCCAATCTTTTATCTAAAATTTGAAATGAAAGAGAATGATAAAAGAAGAGAATAGAAGAGAGAAAAATAACAAAAATTAATTTGAGATGAATAGATAGATAGATAGATAAAGAGAAATTTTGGTAAAATGAAAATCCATCAATACGAATGAATCCCTCAAATCTCCTCTCCCTCTTCCTCATCTGGGACAGATATGAAATGCAATTGAGGGAGGGTTTGTATTCGGAGAGATGAGACACTACGACACACAATTTGCAATCGATTTAAAAATGCTAACTCTGATGTATGCTTCCTTAGTTTACTATTACCACTACTATAAATTAAATACCATTTTTGCTACTATTACTATTATTATTGTTATTACTACTGCTGTTGAAATAATAATTATTACTATTATAATAATAACTATAATAAATTTTATTCTTTTATTGCTATTATTAACTTACTTTTCTCTTTTCTCTTTTTTTTTTTTTTTGTTTCAAATTGATTTGAAGAAAAAAGAAAGAAGAGTGAGAGAGAGAGAGAGAGAGAGAGAAAACCACTTCAAACATTAGCATTTTTCCATATTTCCATCACACTCATTTCTTTTTAGTCAATCCATTTACAACAATGATGCTTCTTGCTTCATTATAATTTTGTTGTTTCATTTTATTACTAATCATCTTTGTTCATTTTTATTTCTATTCTATTCTTTTCTAATTTTTATTCCTATTCTATTCTATTTTAGTCGATTCTATTCTATTCTATTCTTTTCTAATTTTTATTCCTATTCTATTCTATTTTAGTCGATTCTATTCTATTCTATTCTATTCTAATTTCTATTCCTATTCTATTCTATTTTAGTCGATTCTATTCTATTCTAATTTCTATTCCTATTCTATTCTATTTTAGTCGATTCTATTCTATTCTATTCTTTTCTAATTTTTATTCCTATTCTATTCTATTTTAGTCGATTCTATTCTATTCTTTTCTAATTTTTATTCCTATTCTATTCTATTTTAGTCGATTCTATTCTATTCTATTCTTTTCTAATTTTTATTCCTATTCTATTCTATTCTATTCTATTCTTTTCTAATTTTTATTCCTATTCTATTCTATTCTATTCTTTTCTAATTTTTATTCCTATTCTATTCTATTTTAGTCGATTCTATTCTATTCTTTTCTAATTTTTATTCCTATTCTATTCTATTTTATTTTATTTTATTGTATTCGATTCTTTTTTATTCATGTTTCATATTTAATGTTAAGCTTTTGTTATTTTTTTTTTGGCTAATTTTTGATAGGGAAGTTTTCGTATTTATATTCATTCACTCATTTAATGTTTTTTTTTTCTTTTTTGAATGCATTTAAGTATGATTTAAAATATGTTTAAATCTTATTCACCTATATTTGAACTATTAATTATTTACTTACTTAACTACTTTCCTTTTCTCTCCTTTTTCTTTTTTTTTTTTTGAACCACTTTTTATGTTTTAATTAAAAGTGAACAGTTTTACCCATTCAAATATAATCTTAACTTAGTAGTATATTTATTTACTAAATTACATATTACTTTGTTAACTTATCATTACTAGTTAATCCACAAAAAAAAAGTTTCTTTTCTTCATAAAACATATATTAGTTAACTAAAAAGCATATATAATAAATTTAAATACCCAACATATATTTTTATTAAAATGAAAATTTGCATATCAAATAAATAATTTGCTTAAATTTGATACAATGATGAAGAAAAACGGGAAATTTTATTTCAATAAAAATGTAATAATTCATAATAATCCAAGAAAAAGAAGAAAAGATTTAAAAATTCAAAAACTTTTTATCATTTTTGTTTTGTTTCATTTTTTAAAGCGTTTTTTTTTCCTTTTTCGAAAAAAAAAAATTTTTTTTTCACTTTTTCAAAATATAATAAAAAAGTTTGATTAAAAATGCAACTAATACTAAAAATTCCATTTATTTCTTTCTCTTTCTTTTTTTCCACTTTTTTTTTTTAATGAACGAAAAGAATGGTTTAGAAGAAAGAAAAAAAAAAAAACTTTTATTGCTTGTAGCTTTTACAAGTTTTCGGGGGATATAATTACTATTAGATAGAATTGATCTGCATGTGTGTGTGTGTGTGTGTGTGTGTGTGTGTGTATGTGTATGTGTGTGTGTGTATGTGTATGTGTGTGTGTGTGTGTGTGTGTGTGTGTGTGTGTGTATGTTTGTATGTAATGTGTATGTGTATGTGACGGAAAGTAGTAAAATTTGTCGTTGGCCTCCAAAACAGTTCTATTATTAGCACCGTTATAGTATATTTTACAATATAACTAAGAAGGAAATAAAAAAAAAGGAAAAAATTAGGTATAACAATTTGAATCATTCAGTATATTTTACATATTTCATTTCTTTCAAACAAAAAAAGAAGAAAAAAATTAAAAAAAAATTTAATTTCGACTAAAAAAATATATTTTTATTATTATTGTTATTGTTTAAACTTGAATCATATTTATTCACTGCAATTTTTCATTTTTAATTTCGACAAAAAAATCATTGTGTTCGCTTTATTTGAAAACAAAAATTGTGGTTCAAACTAAAAATGGAATTTAATTTTGGTTGAACATTACTGCTACTGTTCTCTTTTATTATTTATTATAATAACAATAAATTTGTCATTATCATTATTTTATTTATTATTACTAATTATTTTTGTTTTATTTAAAAATGAAGTAAAAACTTCAACTAAAAATGAGACTTACATTTAATTTCGACTAGAAATTATTTATTAGAAAATTAGTATTATTATTTCATATTAGAAATTAGTATTATTATTTCATATGTATTTAATATTTTCTTTTCTCCCTCAATGCAATGAAAAAAAATTTTTTAAAAAAGTGAAAGATTGCATTTGAAGTGCACTGAACAATGCATCGGCTTAAACTACAACTGCTAATCCTAATCCGAACTATTACACTAAGCTTACATAAAGCATTATTGTATTAAACTTTTATCATATCCTTAGACTTTAGTTTGCATTATTATAAATTATGTCTAAGAGGAATTATTATCCTTAGGCTTAGTTAGCATTTGTTATATTAAACTTACAATGGAATATTAGCAATTTTGGTGTATGATAATGATAATAATGACTGATTGATTATTCATGAAAAAAATTATGATTATTTGAATTTCGATTGAAATTCTCAGTGAGAAAACTATTCTTAGGCTTAGTTATCAATTTTGGTGTATGATAATGATAATAATGACTGATTGATTATTCATGAAAAAAATTATGATTATTTGAATTTCGATTGAAATTCTCAGTGAGAAAACTATTCTTAGGCTTAGTTATCAATTTTGGTGTATGATAATGATAATAATGACTGATTGATTATTCATGAAAAAAATTATGATTATTTGAATTTCGATTGAAATTCTCAGTGAGAAAACTATTCTTAGGCTTAGTTATCAATTTTGGTGTATGATAATGATAATAATGACTGGTTGATTATTCGTGAAAAAAAATGATGATAATTTGAATTTCGACTGAAAAAATGCCACGAATATACCATATTAACCCCGCGACTTCTCGGTGAAAGATAAGATTGGAAAAAAATGGAAAAGAATATATTACTTTAGCTAAATGCTACAATTATTTCTAAGAAATTTGAATTTTACTTTGTTAAATTTCTGTTTCAACATTATACGGCCCTTGAAGCGGGCCGTATTTTGCTAACGTAGAATGGTGGCCCGTAGCTTTGTTATAAGATTTTGGGTTCTTTTGTTTTTGTTTTTACTTCTGCGACGTGATTTTTTATTGTTTTTATTGTTCTTTTCAATTTTTAGTTAAACAGAATTTTTGTTAATTGTAATTTTTATTATTAATATGAATAAATTTTGTTAATATTAACAGTTTTCGTTTCTTTTTTTCAGAAAATTAATCATTTCTGGTTGACAAAAGTAATTTTAGGTAATGAACTGATTAATTAATACTAAATCGTTTTTAAAAAGGAAAAAAAAACAAACTAACATTTGTGGGAATGGTTAAAAAATTAACTGTAATAAGATTTTTACTTGTGTGATGTTTATATTTGTGATAATATTGTGATAATATTTCTTTTTAATCTTTTAAGACATAATGTAATTGTCAAAGAATCTTTATTAAATTGTACGAGTTGTAAGAATTTAATGTGTCCTTATTTTTTCTTTTTCTTTCAATTCATTATGTTTACTTTTTGAATTGTAGGTGTTTATCTTTTCTTTATTTACATTTTCGTTATCGGTAAAACTTACAAATTTCATTCGTTTGAAATGATTGTTGAGTCACAAAAAATCAGTCAAGAATTTGAAGTTTTGATAATATATCTTCTCATTGCAGTGCGCGTATGTTTTAGTGAAAATTTGATAATCAGTATAGTCTCGAGAGTAATATATTTTCGAGAATAATTATCAGTCAGATCCAACTGTACTTTCGAAGAAATTAAATGATTAATATCTACAAAAGGTGATGATTTCAGAAATCAGCAAAATATTTGATGTTATTTGAATATTTGAAGAACTTTATGGGGAAGTTAGAAAATATAAATATATTTTTGGTTCTGAAGTTAATATAAGTTATAATAGAAACTGATATTTTGAAAGAAGCGATGGGAAGATGTATTTTTTTTTTCTTTGAAAAAATGAAATTAGTGTCAATAATTCGGCTGCTTTATTTTTTAACTCTTTCTTTTCTTTCTTTCTCCTTTCTTCGCATATTTTTCATTTGCTTTAAAAATTTTCATTCTGATTAAATGCCAGTCTTCTCTGTTTGCCAAAAAATGCAAATAGAAATGTATTTGGCTATTATTTCATTTCTTTTTTTACATATTATTATCTTTATTTTCAAATTTTTCATTTTGAAATCTATTATCTTTTTCTTTTGAGAAGAAATAGATTTTTGCAGCACATACAATTGTCATGCTAATTTCAGGATAAATGATGATGAATATAGTCGAGAACGGTATGAGAAGCAGCATACTAGAATATTAAATCCAGCAAAAATAATGAAATTAAATACATTGCTTTAAATATCTCTTTCATTGTATAAAAGAAGGTAGGATGTGATAAGAAAAGAAAGCGAGTAAAAAAGCGAATGAAATTAGTTTGAATGAATTTAGAAAAGTATGCTAGATTAGTTTGAATAAATTTTTAGATCATCAGTAATTTGTTTTAACTAACAAAAATTTCTCTGTTGTATTAGTTAAACTAATGCTAAATAAATGGTTGATTGTGTCATGGATTAAATTTATTTTTTTTATATTAAACAAAGATTTATCGTGTTTTAACATCATTTGTTACATTATTTTTCACCTTTATAAGTACAGATGCACTTACACAAAAGCTGTTAAATTTTTATTTATACAGACCAGATTTAGCATTTTAATATCGCTTGTATGAATCGTTTAACTTTTTGCGATGTTTTTTTTTTGTCTCCCTCTTTATGCATGTTACCTTTGTGAAACTTAGTCTAACATATTTTCACTATTATCCTATATGTGTAGTTATCGATTTAGTATTTATTAAGCATTTTCAATATCCTTTCTTTAACTTGGCGCTATAGCATTATCATCTTCATCTCACTAATATTTGGGTTACTTACCTGTAATGATAGTAGTGATGTTAGAGCATTATCACTGTCATCTCAGGTATATTTGGGTTACTTACCTGTAATGATAGTAGTGATGTTAGAGCATTATCACTGTCATCTCAGGTATATTTGGGTTACTTACCTGTAATGATAGTAGTGATGTTAGAGCATTATCACTGTCATCTCAGGTATATTTGGATTACTTACCTATGTGGCGATGTTACGTCGGAATACTGCATGCAATATATTGCTCTGTCGGATAATTCCTGGTATTTTATGTGTTTAACCCGTGTAATTAATCTATTTCATTTTTTTTTTTTGACTTATAATTTGTCGAGAAAAAAAAAGGACGATGAAGAGATAGAAGAAGAGAGAGAAAGGAAGATTCTAAAGTTTCAATCTAAAATTTTGAATATTGTTGAGATGTCCAAAAGAGTTGTCTTAAATGATTTATAATCCATAAATTTAATTGAAAGAATTGTATTTAAATTTGGTTTAGATAATCAATTTACATAATAAACCTGTTTGTGTTATTATTGTATGATTAACTATATCTATTTATATAAACGAATAACATTTTCCTTTTTTTTTTTTTTTTTTACTGTTATGTGTACTATTGTTAATAACATTTCTATGTAACGACGTTGAATCACCACCATCTTAGGTGACATTTTTATTATCATATCTAACAATATTTCATTTTTTTTTTTTCAAATTTCAGGTTGACACTATTCGTGTGTATATGTTTGTGTACTTTATTATTGAGGAAGCTATTGAGGCGACGGTAATATTTTTTGAACATACAATTCGATTTAAAGAAAGCTATTTCATTCTTTCGAAAGCACTGTAATAGCTTCTATATTTTTTCATCCTATCTGATCAATAAACTCATCATCAATCGTTCTATAATAACGCTGTCAAAAGACTAATTTCTTCCAGTCTATCATCTTTGTTATCGCAAAGTAAGTTTCTTTCTTTTTTCTCGTTTTATTTGGAAATATGACAATTTCAGGTCTGAAATTCATAAAAAAATTTATTGATATCAGGATTGTTAAATGAATGAAATTATGTGATTAAGATATATGTCATTAATGGGAAAAGATGATGTTCTATTATTGTATAAGTATTAATGATAAAATTTAATGGAATCAAAACTAGTATTTATTGTTAATTGAAAAATCTAGCAATAAATAATGGGAAAGAATGAAGTTACATACAAAAATGAAATGGAATATTTTTTATATATGATCAAAAAAGAAACGAAAAAAGAGAGATAGTACTTTTTATGAATAATAACAGAAAAAAAAAAAAAAAACTTTTTAAATAAATAAAAGAAAACGATATTTATTTAATTGTATATATGGAAAAATTCTCAAGAAAAGCGCTATATTATTATAAAAATGTAACAATTTTTATTTTGATTAAGCATTAGGGAAGTGAATTTTTATATATTCATGCAACTATTAATGCTTATTTGATTCAATTCTATATTTGTTTGCTCTGTTTGCATATTATTTCATTTGTTTGCACTTCCAAATATGTCTGTTTAATTTAGGGTTAGAGAAAGTTGAATGATTGATAATTTAATTCTTTTTTTCCTCTCGTTATTAGCACAAAATGAGTGGAAATTAAAAATTTTCTGTATTCTTTGCAAGTTTTATTATGAATAAATGAATAAATCATTAGGTTAAATTATAACTTATACAAACTTCTAAATCGTAATGATTTAGGAATTATTTTCTGTTGATTTCTACACTTTCTTTTTTTTTTTTTTTGCTACTAAATTTAATTTTCATTGCAACATAAAATATTAGCATTAATTGAAAAGTGACATATATTTCAAAATGAAACTTTTAACTGCTTTTTAACTAATTGATTAATATTTTTCCTTCTTTCAATATTTCTCTTCTTTATTCAAGTTTGTTTAATTTTAGTTTATTTATTATTTTTTTTTATTTATAATTTAAATTATAGAAAGATTGTAACAGAGATAAAAACAGAAATCAATATTCATAAATTAGAGGTTAGAGTATTATTTATCTTTTTTCTTTTTTATATTGCACCAAAGGAAAATTTTTATGATTATCATGTCTATCATTTATCATTTATTCATATTCCACGTTAACTTTTTTATTTTTGAATTCATTTAGTTATATAATTTAATTAAATTTTTGTGTTTTATTTAAGCATAGATTTGTTTATTTATTTTAAAATAAATGATACATCAATGCAATAAAAAAAGAAAACTTTATTTTAATGTTTTGTTTTACCTCTTTCTTGTAGATAATTAGTTTTTCATTATATCATATGACATTCTAATGAGAAATTTTCGTACATATTACAAAGTAGGAAGAATGAGAGAGAGAGGGAAAGAGAGAGAAAGAAAAAGTGTTTAGATACAAATTAAGAATTTTGCTTTCTTTTTTCCTAAATTTTAAAAACGAAAAATAAATAATTGCTGACAATATTTATGAGTGATAAGTTCCTTTGATAATACCAAGTTGGAGGTCTCTCTTTTTTTTTCCTCCCTCCCTCTCTCTCTCTTTTCTATCTCTATGGTATATATTTTTTTAAAAAAAAAAATAAAGAGGTGAATGAAATAATGAGAGGGAGAGAGAGAGAGGAAAAGTTTGAAAATCACTCTGTCATTAGTGAAAAAAAAAAAAGTTGGAAGAATTTTTTCAAAAATATTTTCTAGTTGTAACTTTTTTTACTTTTTTCTTTATTCTCTTCAATGAAAAAGATAGCAAGAATATTTTGTTCATTTTGTTTCTTTTTTTTTTTTTGTTTTTTTCATTTCTTTCGTTCTTTTTTGTTAATTTTTTCTCCTTTTTTAAAAATAAAAATAAAATAGATAAATCAATATTGATTGTATATAGTTGATGTGATGAGTTGGTTGCTCATTTTAGCAAGTATTCTCTATGGATATGAATTTATGTAAATAAGTATATGTATGTTTTTTTTTTCTTTTGTCCTTTTTTTTGAAAAAAAAAAAAATAAAAATAAAATTCCGATGAAGAATGGAATAAAATTTAAGAGGGATGACTGGAATGGGTTTTTTTTTAATCATTTCAAGTTTCCTTTTAATTCTTTTTCACTAGCTCTCTCTCCCTCCTTCTCTCTTTCTTTCTCCCTCTCTCTCTCATTCTTTTTTTTTATATTTTCAATTCTTTCTCCTCTTCAGTTATCCACTCTTTAGTTTCATTGCATTTCGTTTTTTTTTTTTTAATTTCATTTGAAAAAGATAGTTTGTATAGCAATGTTTGTTTACAAATAACAATCTATTATATATAATCTAAAATTGATCTTATAGTAATTATGTATGAAATGATTGGATTGAGTAATTAGTTGATGTAAATTATTCGATAAACAATTTCATTTGAATTTTTAATTTTAATTTTTAGTTTAAGATAATCATTTATGTATTGTAATATTTCAAGTAGCTATTGTTTTTTAAGATTACTATCTTTGAACTAAGGATTAAATGCTTTGATGGGTTACCTTGAAATAAGGATTAAATACTTTGATGGGTTACCTTGAAATACTTTTTTTTTTTTGAATATGTTATTGTCAAATCCCAATTAATTTGAAAATTTTATTATTTTTTTTTTATTCATTTTTATGGTAAATATCAAGCTGAATAGCAATTATCGGAACATTTAACGGAATGATTTTGATTTTACAACTATTCGAGAAAAATGATAGTAATACTTATATGTAGTAAAGATTGAAAATTGAATATTAAATGTAAGAAATTGTAGGATAATTGTATTGCGGTAGTTTAATAACAATGAAAAATTCAAGAAAAATTAGTAAAAGAAACGGAAAATTCTGTTAAGAAATTTAAAAATAAGTTAGGAAATAAAAAGGACAATATAGATTATAAAATTTACATCTATTACAAAAATTTCCTCTCTTTCAATTTTAACTTTTAATATTTATTAAAAAATAAATTGCATAATGACAATAATAATAATAATAATAATAGTTGTAGTATTGATGATCAGTGCATTAAGATTTCCTATGCTAGCAATGAGAAGAACTTATTTTTTGTTAATTTTAACGATTTATGTTTGTATCTTTTCGTTACTGAATATTAAATGCGTTTCTCTTTTTTTTTTTTATGTGTTATATGCAAGAAATGAAGTAATTAGTAAGTAAAAAGTGAACATAGATATAATAAATTTGAATAATTGTTATAAATAATTCGAATAAAGAATATTTTGCTTTATCGGACGAAAGTTTTATAATTTACATATGAAATATTAACTGAGATTGGATAAGCCAATGTTTTATTTTAATTTGAGAGAAAAAAGTGCAATATGATTGCTACTTAACTAAATGATTTCTTTTTGTTTTTCTTCATTAAATATTTCATCAATACTTAAATCATAACATTTATTCTTATTAGTTTTTAGTGCTAATTAGATTCTTCTACATAACTAATTAATAAATTTTAATTAAATAATATTACTTTTTTCTTGAGATTTATCATATTTAACTTTTCCGAATATACATGATATATTGTTAATAATTCTTTTTTTTTTTTTTGAAAAATTTCTAGTTTATTTATTACTATTATTATTGCAGTGTTACGAGAAGGTGTAGTTTGACGGAAGTCTTGAACGTAAACAATGTCATTACGTGAAGCTGGTTCAACACGTTTGAAACAACTGGAACAGTGTTATTTGAACGTTTCACGTGGTGAAGATGTTTTTTCCATTGAATCATTATTAGATGCTCTTATATGTTTATTTGATGAATGCTGTAGTTCAACATTACGTAAGGAGAAAAATATTGCCGATTTTGTTGAATATGGTTAGTTTTATATTTTATTTTATTTTAATTAGAAAGAAAAAGAAACCATGTAATATAGCTTATGATTAAGAATTTAATTGAGAAATTTTAATTTAAATAGTTATTGAATAGATTTGTGTTTTAATTTCCATAAATTTAATATTTTAATATAATATATGACTAAATAGATTAAGAATGGAATCATCATATTGTAATCTTGGTAATATTGATCTTGTATTACAAACAAATGTGAAATTTTAAATTTAAGATTTTAATTTTTTTTTTCTTTTTTCATTTTTTTAGTTGTTTGAATAATTTTAGATCATTATAAAGTCTGTTAGTATAAGTGATTAATAATATTTTACTTCATGTTGAATTGAAATGTTTGGATATTCTTAATGTTTTCCTTTCTTTCACATTAAAAAGTAGCAGTGTAAGATGACATCAAATTAAATGATTTATGCTAACAATTATCTACGAAATTCAATAGAGTGTTGTATTTAAAGAAGATAATATTAACTGAAAATGATGAAATAGATCAATGATGGAATGAATTTTAATTTCTAAAAATTCTGAAATATTAATTTAATAAAATAAAATTATATTTTAACTTTCTTTTAGTAAAACCAGTGATAGTAAAAGCGAAAGCATTACGGTTATGTCGAGAAGATTTCGAAGTACTAAAAGTAATCGGACGTGGTGCATTTGGCGAAGTAGCTGTTGTACGAATGCGCAATACCGAAAGGGTAAATCATTTGATGTGTATAAGATAAAGTGTAGAGTCAATTTTGAAATTTTTCTTGTTTTGGTCTTTTATCAAAATCCATTAAATTCATTCTTATGCATTTTAATTAATAAAATTAATTCTTCAATTAGACTAGGAATTTCAATTTCAAATTTAATATGTGATTATTTTCTTAATATCAAAAAAAAGTTGAAATAAAATATTAGATATACTTTTTTTTTTTAACCTTTGTCTTTAGGTATATGCGATGAAAATACTAAACAAATGGGAAATGTTAAAACGAGCCGAGACAGCATGTTTTCGAGAGGAACGAGATGTCTTGGTACATGGTGATCGCCGATGGATAACTAATTTGCATTATGCTTTTCAAGATGAGCGAAATTTGGTTGGTTTAGTTTGAGGATTTAGATGGAATTAAATTTAAGCAAATGATTAATGAACAATTTAGGCACAAGTAATATATTAAAATGAAATCCTTTTGTATTAGTCATGCTTTCATTATTATTTATCTCATTTGATAAATGATCCTTTGATGTTTCATGTTTTCATATTATATTTGCATTTCATGTTGTATTTAGGGAATTGTAAATAAATTACATATAAACATTTATAAATAGACATACAATTACATTTGAGTTTTATATTTTACAGTATTTGATAATGGATTATTATGTGGGTGGTGATTTATTAACATTATTGTCAAAATTTGAAGTACGAATACCAGAAGATATGGCACGATTTTATGTTGCTGAAATGGTACTTGCTATTGATTCTGTTCATCGATTAGGATATGTACACAGGTATGTAGATGTTTTATTTTACACAGGTGTTTTTTATCATTTTTATTATTCTTATCATCATTTACTTGCTTTTTTTTTTTTTTTTTTTTGTTTGATATTTTGATGCAGTAATCTATATGCAGAGTAATACTATTTTCGTATTTTTTTAACTTTTTTTTTTAAATCTTAAGTTGCAGAAAAAAAATAAACTATATAAACGGAAGCATTAAATATTTAATATTATTTTTTATTGAAACTATTAAATTTAATATTAATTTTGCAGAGATATTAAACCAGATAACGTATTGTTAGATATCAATGGTCATATTCGTTTAGCTGATTTCGGCAGTTGTTTGAAATTACTTCCTGATGGAACTGTTCATTCTAATGTTGCTGTTGGTACACCGGATTATATATCACCAGAAATACTACGAGTTAGTTTTATTGATAAAAATAGAATAGTACTCATCAATGTGATTTATGAAAAAATCATTGAGAATTGATAAGCGAAAAAAAAAGTAATTTTATACTGATTTGTTCTATCATATATTTGTTGAAGATACCCGCTATCTGTTAATTATATGAATAAATAAAGTGATTTTATCATAATATGCAACGAAAATTTTAACTTTTGATAATTATGTAAAATTTAAAATATTGTAAAAATTTTCACTTTGAAATAAAATATTAAGAGTAAATTATTAATGTTTAAATATTATAGATATAGGAAAGTTAATGTAAAACTTTGTCACCTTATTTGAAATGAAAAATTGCATAAAAATGTTTTGTAAGTAAAGATTATTCAAATTTAGATTTTTATGATATTTGATTGACATTGTTTTTTTTTTTTTTTTTAGGCAATGGAAGATGGCCGTGGACGTTATGGTGCAGAATGTGATTGGTGGTCACTTGGTATATGTATGTATGAAATGCTTTATGGTGTTGCTCCATTTTATGCTGAAAGTTTGGTGGAAACATATGGAAAAATTATGAGTCATCAGGTTTGTTTTCTTTTTCTAGAAAAAAATCTGTTTTAATATAATATTCATTTATTATTTAATTTATTTTGTACTTAATTAGTATGCGATTTTTTTTTTTGTGGAATTTAAACTCTGAAAAATTTTCAACATTTAATTATTGTAATAGATTTTAAATCAGAATATTTTATTCATCGTTTAAATAGTTATATCCTATTATCAAATATATTGTGAAATCTTTTCAAAATATTATAAATTGAATATTGTTGGCATCTACGCATTAATGATTGAATATTATGAATGAAGTAATGAGTAAATATTATATTACACTTTTCTCAACTCATCAATACAATTTATTTTTGCTTTCGTTTTCTTTTCTTTAATAACTATGATTTTGTATCAATTTATTAATATAACTTTTCTTTTATGTTTTTTTTTTCTATCGTATGGAATCAGAATGAAAATTGAAAGGATGATGAAATTCGAGTGCTAAATTTATTAATATAATTTTTCTTTTCTGCTTTTATTCTATCATTATTTTCGTTCTCTTCTTAACTCAGCTAAAAATTCATTTATCTTTCTTATCCAGTATTAAAAATTTTTATTTTCTAAAGTAAAAATTGTGTTTTTGAATGAAATTAATCACATAACATTTTTTTTCTAATTTTTTTTTTTTTTTTTTAAACCTAGAATTTGTGATTATTTTAGGAAATGTTGGATTTTCCGGATGACATTGATATTTCGGAAGAAGCGAAAGATTTGATGAAGCGACTAATTTGTCCACGTGAAACACGTCTTGGTCAAAATGGTTTTGTTGATTTTGCATCGCATCCATTTTTTGAAGGGATTGATTGGGAAGCAATACGTGAAAGTAAGTATTATTGTTACTTTTTTTTTGTCTTATATATTTCTATATTATAAATTGTTGAAATTTTTATCTAATTATGCTCTTTTTGAAGGAAAAAAGAAAGAAAACTTCATCTTCATATTTTTTCCCTTGACAAAGTGAAATGATTTTTTATCCTTCAATTGATCTTTAATGACAGTAAATCTCAATTTAAAATTTGTTATTTCATCTTATTTTATTTCTCATAAGCTTTTCTCTTATTCTTTTCTTATCCTTATCGTAGTGCAATTTAATTCAAAGCAATGCAGTTCATTTCTATCATACAATTAACGATTATTTGTAGTGGATACACCATATCGTCCCGAAGTATCAAGCCCAACGGATACATCAAATTTCGATGTAGAAGCATGTTCACCCGATTTCACACCTTGTGTAAGTTTTTTTTTTTTTCTTTTTTTAGCATTAAAAGTGTTATTCCTAGAGTTGAGTTAAATTTTTTTTTTTTTTTGTGCATAATTTAAGAATTTTATTTAATTTCGAATTTCATTGTTGATTGCTTTTTTTTTTTGAAGCACTCAATTACAGCACTTGCTTTTTGTTTTCTTTTTTATGTATTTTAGATTAAATTATTTATAGGATACGAAACCACCCAATGTTACCGCACCATTTACTGGTCATCATTTACCCTTTATAGGATTTACTTATACTCATGACAGGTATTATTATGTATTTTTTAATATTTTATATATTTTTTTTTCCTTTTTTGAACAATTTGTATATAATGTTAAATAATACAAATGTAAATAAAATTATATGTATTATAGCATGATGTCGGATTGCAAAAGTTTATCGTTATCAGGCTTAGATTCAAGTGCTGATTCATTACCAGCTTTAACAGCTGAAGCATATGAAAGACGAATACAAAGACTTGAACAAGAAAGGACAGAACTTTCTCGAAAATTTCAAGGTTTATTAATTCTTTTTTTTTTCCTACTGTTCATTTTAAATTAGACTGTTAATTATGATACTATATGATGGATAAATTAATTCATTCAATAATCTTTTTTTCATCAAATAAAATGTTAATTCAAAAAATACTCCTTATTTTAGACTATATAAAAATTGTTTCAAAATGAAATTAAATTAAAATTAACATTCTTGATTTATAGAAGCAAATCGTCTGATACAGACACGTTTTCATGGTTCAGCACCTGATGGTGAAGCAATGAATGATTCAATTAAATATGAACAAACAATAGCACAATTGAAGGATGAAGTTCAGGTGATATTAATTTACTGTAATAGTTGTTTGCATGTTTGTTGATTCTTTCAAAAAATTGATTTTTCATTTTTTTTTTTTTGTATTGAATTTAATCATTCAAAAGTAATTAGAGGAATGTTGCCAAAACATAATTTAAATAATATTTTTCTATTTTTGTCTTATTATAGATTTTGAAAAAACGCTTAGCAGAAGAAAACAATTCATCGTTGAGACCAGCAAAAGATTCAAATCAAGAAGAATTGGAAAAGAAAATGAAAGAACTGAAAGAAAAGAATCGACAATTAATTTTGGATAAGCAAGATTTACAACGGGTATTGCTATTAATTTACTTAGAATTTTTAACTTTTTTTTTAAAAAAAAAAAAGAAAAAAAAAACTTGAACCTTTTTTTAACGTTAACTTTTTAATCGATTCAGACTATATGCTATTTAAACTCTGAAATAACATTATTTGCATGTGAATTCTGTTTGCTTTTAATATCTTATTTAATTCTCAGGATTTGGAGGAAACATTTGAAAGGCTAACAATACAGACAAGAGAATTGAAAGAAGCTGTGAAGCATCGAGATTTGGCTAAACAAGATTACGATGAAGTAGATTTTCTAATATTGATTAGTTTCTTTAGCTTTTTAATCTTATTCCTTGATTAATGAATAGATCAATTATTTAATGCTTTCTTTTTTTTTTTTTTTCAAGATGTATAATTTGATCGTTTCTTATTTACAGCTTAATACGGCTTTATTAGATGAAAGAGATAAACTGAAACGTTCGGAAAAATTAGCGAAGGAACGTGAATCAGAACTTTTTCAGTTGCACCAAAAATTGGATGCATTTAAACTGGAGCTTCGAAAGCTTGAAAATGGTTAATTTGATTAAAAAATTCAGATTTTTTTTTTTTTTTAAATCAGCTTACATCTATGTTTTCTTTAGGGGAAATGTTTTCAATTTGAGTATGTTATGAGTAGTCTATGTTTAACTTTCCGTTTCTTGACTAGCTTTTTTCTTTTTTTCTGAAAATGTTGTACGTAACAGATCAAAATGTCAATTACAGTTCGAAAAGAAGTGGAAGCAACAGCAGAACGTGCTCATCAAGATTTGTCAAGTGAACGTTTGCTACGTGAAACATTACAAACAAAACTTGCATCACAAGAATCGAAAACTGAAAGTGAAGAGGTTGCACGACTAACTTCTGAGTTGCAAAAAGTAAACGTACGTTACGCAGAAATGGTTGATTCAGAAGAGAAAAAACGTCAACAAACAGTGGAGTATTGGAAGGTTTGTATTGTTTCCAATAATATCGAATATATATGTATATATATTTTTTATCAAACATTTGATGGATAATTTTGATTGGTATGAAAAGCAGGTCATGGTTAACCAATAATTTTCACATATATACGTGACAGTATTCGGGAGATAAATTAGAAAAACAGTGACCTTATAATTTGCACATTAGAATTGTACAAATTGAAAGGATCAGAGAGTAAATTGTAATTAGGTGCAACCTGAATATATGAGATTTTTATGTGATGAATCAAAATCAGTTTATCAATATTTGTGTTTTTTTTTTTTTTTTTTTTTGTGGTCAAATTGCTTTAGCATTTCATAAGGACAATTCATTTATTAATGATTTTCATCGTCATTTTTTACAGATTCAAAAAATACAACTTTTAGCATTGAATTTAGTATGAATCCATCTGTTGTTTTATTCGAAAATATTCTTTTTGTTTTTCAAGCAATTATTCAAATACATGAATCCAAATTTGATTTTCAAATTCATTAGAATTTTGTTATATTTTATTTTGTTTTAGTTTTAGAAAATGCTATATTTTGCAGTCACAAATGGTTGATCTACAGAATAGTTTGGATCAGCAACAAAAGGAATTAGTGAAGTTGAAAGAAAAGCAGGATGAGGAGAGAACAGAATGGCGTACAAAACACGAGGAACAAATAGTTAGCATCGAAGTTTGTTTTTTTTTTTTCTTAGAAAAAATTAGAAATATTTGGAAACAGTTTTTGTATATTTTAAAGTTTGTTCTAAATTTTACAATTTTGTTGAATAGAATGATATTTATTACTGAATAAATTATGCAATTTCTTTATCACCGATATAGAAACTCAATTGTATTGTTATTTCAATTGCAGTATTTATGTTTATTTGGGAGTACTTCATTTACAGAATCTTTATGAAAGAAGATTGAAATTATTAGAAGGCGAGAATTCTCGACTTGGTATAGAGAATGATGAATTGAGAAATGACATGAATAAGTTGCAATCGGAAATGTAAGTTTTTTTTTCGATAGTCTTTAAATATTTTGTTATTTAAAAATATATAGCTTTTTCAATCATCTCAGATAGATAGATGATTATACTATTCTAGCATATGAAATTTCAAAAGATTGCTACATCTTTAATGAAGTTTCTAGATGTGACTAGAGACTTATTTATTTTATTAAACTGATTTGACACCTTTATATTTGTTAAAATTTCATTACAATTCTTTTCCAGCAAATCGAGACTTTCAACAACACTTCCATTTCCTAACACATCCGGTCTTACTGAAAGTCAACTTCAGGAATTATTACAGTGGGTTAGTGATGAAAAAGATGCAAGAGATTCACTGCAGGTAACAATTGCCTCCTTAAAAATGTTAAATTTCTTTGTGGTAGTTGAAATTTTCAAATATTCTCTTCATTTTGTTTTATGGTTAATTTGAAATTTCAGAATTTGGCAACTCGCTTACACGGCGATGTGGAATCGCTCAAAATACAGCAATCATCATCAGCAAATAATGCTTATTCAAATGGTATTTATAATTATTTGGACTTTATTATTATTATGTTTTTTTTTTTTATTAAAATTAAACTTGAAATTCTTTAACTATTTACAACTATGTTTTTAACTGTAATTTGAATATAAATGAAAGAATGATGGAAAAAAGTTGAAATGTATGTATTGTAGGAATTCCAGTAGCAGTAAGCGGACAGGAACGTGGTGGCTGGGGATCACGACGTGTTAATAAGCAAACAAAAATTGAACTCCTAGAAGCTCAACAAGCTTTACAATCAGAAATACGCGCTAAACAACAGCTTTTGGAAGAGTTGAAAAAGATTCGATCTGCTTATTTAGCCACCAAACAACGTTTAGATGAATCTGATAAACAGGTTACGTAGAAATTTTAATTGGTAGAATAAAATGATAGATAAAATAAGTCAAAGTTATATTTATAGTTGAATTAGAATGATATTTTTCATAAATATAAGAAAATTTAACGAACTTCGGTAGCAGAACAGTGTTCTGAAAAAAGAAAAGGAGTCGAATTTATATTTTCCTTTTTAAAAGAATATAAAATTTGCAACATAAATTAAATTTTTCAAAATTAAACGCATAAAACGCTTTTCGATTCTTATGTGAAAATTTTGAAAATTGAACTTGTTTGGTCGGATTCAGCAATAAATATTAGTTTAAACATTGAAAGTGATGAATTATTGCTTCGTCTTATCTCATCAAGAGGTCAGAAAATCTGATTCTGAAAATGACTTAAAATTGAGAGAATTAAACCAGTGAATATATTACCTTCGAAGAATTTTACCTTGTAGTCACTTTGATCTATGCGTTATAATTTTGAAAAAAATGTATAATTGAGAACGATTAAAATTTTATGTAACGATAATTACAAAGATTATCGAGTAACTTGTTCAATTTTTTAGATCAGAAATCAAAATATCAGAAAAAAGCAAAAAAAAAAAAATCGTTCCTAAATCAGAAATCAAAATAATTTTAACAGTTGACTGAGTGAAAACTCAATCCATATTATTTCAGATTGCTGAGCAAAATCGTGAAATTGAACGTCTAACTGAAGAAAAGGAGCAATTATCTCGTATTTTAGGACAGCATTCTAATTATCCTGATCAGAGTAGCTCTTTTTTTAGCGTTGTTGGTGATGTTAACAATGATAGATTATCAACAGGTAGAGGAATTTTATTTTTTACAATTTTAATTGTAGTTTATCTAATCTACGAGATACGATAATAAATCAGTGCTTAGGAAAAGATCAAAAATGCTTTCTCGAATAAATTATTTCATTTCATCTTTCCACTGATTTATTCTTGTTATTTTTATTAAGGTCTTATTATATTTTTCTTAACATTTTAATTAATTATTTTAATTTCAGTTCAAAATGTTTCAATGGTATATCGCGAGAGTTTTGATAGCGCTTCTTCACCAGCAAATGGAAGTGATTATGAAATTTCGAATAGTTCATTGAGACGACATCAACAACTGAAACAGCAATCTTTTAATAGGTACAATTGATTTTTCTTCAACTGCTCAAAATTACTAGGCATTAATTTAACTTTTATTTTGGCATTTTGAAAAATCGAAAGATGAAAAAGAGGAAAAAAGGAAAAAAAGATTATCACTATTAAATCACTTATTGTAATTTAAATTTCATGTAAATTTTTAGCACTTCTTCACCTGTATCACCTCCAACTTATGAGAATACTAGAGTTCTTACGCCAACACCAAGTACTGCTTCGACATTGGTTATGGGTACACAGGGACGAGGTGCCAGTCCAAAAGTTGGTTATTTGTGGTTATTTTAGTTTGTTTCTCTTCAATTTATTTTAATTGTTTAACTTTACTAAACAAATTTTTATAGATTGAAATAAAAAAAAAAAAAAAAACGAGTGCATTCCATCATTAGATTATCGGAATAATCTACTCAAATTCTTCTAAATTTTCATTTTTCTATTTTAGGTTATTCAAACTTTAAATAATGCATTAAATGGTAAAGGTCATCGGTTCTCTCATATACACTTGCAAACACCATCGAAATGTGCTTATTGTACGTCAATTTTGATTGGTTTAGATCGGCAAGGTTAGTTTTTTTATAAATCATTTTGCAGATTCGATGTTGTTTACAATATAATTAGATTGATGTTTATTTCTAGAATTTTAGTTTTAATCAACATTGAGTCAATCAAAATAAAAATATTTCGACGAACTTAACTCTTTCATAGTTTTTTTTAGGACTCTTTTGTCAAGATTGTCAGTATGCTTGTCATGTTGCTTGTTTACCGAAAGTACCGTTAGTTTGTCCAGTTCCACCGGAAGCAAGGAGACCATTAGGCATTGATCCGCAGAGAGGTACAGGCACTGCTTATGAAGGTAATTTTAAATATTTTTTTTTTTTTTTTTGAACTATATATTGTATATTTTGTGAGAGATAAAGTATTTTTTAACTTAACTTGAGACGACGATTATTCATTTTATTATTTGTTATGGTTGTGGTAACTTTATGAATTTCATTTCAGGATTAGTTAAAACACCGAAACCATCGGGAGTTAAACGAGGTTGGCAATCGACTTATGTTGTTGTATGTGATTTTAAACTGTATCTGTATGATTGTAGCACAGACAAACATGGGAAAGCGATCGATATTCATCCAGTTATTAGACAGGTGTCTGTACTGACTTTTATTTCTAGAATCTAATTTTAATTTTACTTTTCAAAAATTTTAAAATTAGGTAAGAATTCATTTTCATACGTTTTAGAAATTTTAATCGTTCAAATTATTAAGTTATGATAGAATTCAGCAACTTTTTTTTTTTTGTTTCAGGTTTTGGATATGCGTGATACGGATTTCACAGTAACAGGTGTTACAGAAGCTGATGTTATTCATGCATCAAAGTCTGATTTGCCAAAAATATTTCGTATAACAACAAGTCAAATTCATGGTACACTACCAACATCGGGTATTAATACAACGGGATCAACATCAAGTAGCGGTAGTGCTACATCAGAAGGACCTGTTTCACGACAATATACTCTTCTCATGGCAGATAATCATGAAGTAAATTGAAATTAGTTTTTTTTTTTTTTTCCTTTTTCTTATAATTATATGCTCTCTGAAGTTTTTGAAGTTTAGGTTCAACATTTCGAACTAACATGTTATTCAATAATTATGATAATATTAAAATTATTATTTCCATATCATTCAAATTTAATTTTTCTATTCAGGAAAAAACAAAATGGGTAATTGCATTAAATGAATTAAAAAGTCTTCTACGTCGAACAAAACTCGTCGATAAGAGTGCTTTTACAGTCAAAGTAAGTATTATTAAGCAATATCAAAAAAATTTACAGATATCATTCTCCTAAATTTTTAAGTGTAATTTTAGTCTTTTATGTTGGTAAATTATGATTGTTTTTTGTCGAATTCCATCATAATTTAAGTTATGGATTCCAATTTTTGAGGCATTTTGTGTTTTTTCTAATGTGAAATTTTAGCTCTGTATTATAGGCATAAATAAAATTATTTCTTTTAATGGTTTCAGTAATAATTTCATTATTTTCTCCCTCATATAGTGTTTCAATTACAAGTATGTATGGGAAATTATATTTTAAAGACTAAATCAACATTTTAGGTTCTTTAAATTGTTTCGAATTCAAATAAAAATTGAAATTTAGGAAGTGTTTGATTCGATAACATTTCGTGAACTTCGTAATGCGCAATGTGCTGCAATTATAGATAAAAGCAAAATTGTGATGGGTTTTATAGATTATGGTTTATATGCGGTTGACTTAGATCGTGAGGTATTTCTAATTATTTTCTTTACATTCTTTACAATAATTTAAAAAAATAAAATTCAAATTTATTGTATTTAATTGAATCATTCAAAACTAAAACTTTTATCAGCAATTATTCACATGAATTATTTTTGCCTAAAAGACTAGATGAAAATAATTTTAAAAGCCATAAGCAAATATATAACTAATGAATAATTCTGCATAAACATTAGCTAGTATATATGACATTTGATATAATTCATGCCATTTCTGCAACGAAAATTTGAGAATCAAATATAATTACTATAAAATATATCATAAATAATTAACTATAAAAATCTCAGGAAATGTTTTTACATTTTTTTAAAATATTTGACCATGAAAGTTTTTGTTTTCGTTTTTGTTTTTTTTTTTTCTTGGAATTTGTAAGAAATTTTTTCTACAAATGTGTTTCTGTGATTTTTTTCTCTATTTTTCCTTTCAACTTTTTCAATTTATAATCATATATTCATCAATTCCTTAAAATTGATGTTGTTAATCATCAATTTTTTTTTTTTCTAAAACTCTATTTATTCAACTTTTTCTAAAACTTTATTTGGTATAGCTAATCCAGCGATATATATTAACATGATTATTCTAAACTGAGATACTATAAATCTATTCAACTTTCTCTACATACTGTTGCAAAATTATTATTATTATTATTATTACTCAAAATTTTCGTTCATCTTTTTTTGTCCTTTCATCGTATTTCTTTCTTTTATTAGGAAATTATATGATAAAATTACTTTTTCCGCACGATACTTTTGTATGTAAAATTGCATAGCAAAAAATCCAATAATAACATAAATAGCAGAAATGCATAAATACGAGAATGTAATTCCAACAATTAGTCCAAAGAGTAATTGATTGATAGCAGCTAATCCAACTGATACAATTAGCAATTTTTCAGGACAACTACAAAAATTTTCAGTTTAATTTATTCGTTTTTTTTTTTTTTTTCTTTAAAAAAAAAATTTTTAAAAAAGCACAAATTACATAAAATCAAATGGAAGGTTGAGATAGATAACTGTAAAAGCTTTGCATTAACATATTTCACTTTAATTTATCCAAATATTTGTTCATTTTATTTTTTATAACTCTTTTCGCTGAATTTTTAATTATATAATAATCGGTAAATTATGATTTAAGCATTTAATTTATATTTAGATTATGAAATAACTCTAGTGTATTTCCGTGGACATTAATAAGCAATAAAATTAATTTGCTTTTGAATTAAATTACCAACTTGAATGGATTTGAATAATTAATTCTTCTTTTATTGTTTGCGTAATTTTTTTTTTGTCATTTATTTATTATATTTATTTTTTTACTTATTAATTTCAAAATTTTTTATTAATTTCATTTTGAGATTAAATAGTAAAGCGGAATATAAATGTAGTAAAAAATAAAAAAAAATTAACATACGCTCCAATATTGAAATATTTTGTATATGTTGCAAATGCAATACCTAATGGTACAAACCAAACAATGGGTGGTGTTTGATAATATTCTCTGTCACTTAAGATATAACCTGATAAAATACCCTGCAAGAAATTTTTGTTTTATTTTTGTTAATTTCATAAATATTATTCCATGAAATATGTTTCAATCAAATTTTTCAGAAACTCTTTTTCTTGATAATCATCCTGAATTGTTTCCTCTTTCCTTAATTTCTTTTATCATTTCCACTCATAATTTCATTAATTTAATCAATTAATTAGTCATTCATTACGTAATAATTTAAATCAATTAATTAGTGATTCTGCTCCTTACATAATTAACTATTTTGTTTATTTAAATAGAACATTTGATTAAATTATTCACCAATTTCTTATATGACAAATTTTAATTGCTTTTTTTTAATCTTAAAGTAAAAATGTGAGAATATGTTTTGAAGCTGCAGAAAATTCTCTTCTTGTTTTGTCTTTTTTTTTTTTTTTTAATAACTAAAATATTTCCATATATAAAAAAAAGTATTTTATATTTATTTAAGGAAAAAAGATTTTTATGTTTGTAAGTAAGAAAGAAAGAAAAAAAGAAATGAACTTACTTCAGTAATAGTGAAGAGGAGAATTTTAGAATTTCGTAAAGTTTTTGATCTTCGCCATAATTTTGCAAATTTAGGATGAATAATATTAATAATCATAATGAATGGTATTACAATATAACATAGCATAACGGTAATTAATTCGTTAATGAATGTGATATTTGTATGTTGTTGATATAAATATTTCATTGCTATATTACATGCCCAGAAAGTAGCCATTAAACCGGTTATTTCAATATACATTTCACCAATTGCTTGTATCGTTACCATCTTTAGATTTTTAGATTGTTTGCTTTTTTTTAAGAAAAAAAAAAAAGCTACTTTTTTCTCAGTGAATGCATTTTTTTTTTCTGTTTTAAATTGATTTATTTAATCGTAACTTTTATTTCGTTGAATGATAAATGAGAGATAATGAATTATATTTGGATGTGAAGTTGAAATATTAGTTAGAGTAAGATTTGATAAGTATTAAGCTAAATTTTTTGAAAAATTTCTTTCTATTGATTCTTGTTTTTATGATTTTTCGAAATATTGAGGATAATTTTGTAATTTGAATTAGATAGAGCAAAATAGAAATTCAAATTTTTGATAAGAAAGAAAACATAATGAAAAAAAAAAAAGGATTGAGTTATTACTCTATGGTATAAATCTTAAATATGTGAACTAGAGTTTCATTTTTATAACAACGTCTCTGTTCATTTTTGTGTTTCAAAAAGAAAACAAAAATTGTTTTCATTTTTTTTTTACATCATGTAATACATATATCTTAAACTGTAATTGGCTATGAATGCTTCTTACTTTACTGAAATTTACTTTTATTCAACGGCAAAATAAATTCGATTGATTGCAAAAAGTAGAAGTGAATAAATGAGAACACAAGAGATTTTATATAGTTTTTAAATTTATTTGAAAAAGATATGTAAATTTTCATTTTTTCTGACAATTTTGATTTTTGATTTTAAACGAATTTATAATTACTGAAATGATTTTAGTCAATAACAATGGTTGGTGGTGAGAAAGAAAATAATAAACGGACAGTTGAACGAGTGGAGTATAATGCGGAAGAGCAGGTAACTATTTGAAAAAAGTGATAACTAATTTAAGTATAATAATTAGAAAATTAGCTATGAGCTTTCTTTTTTTTTTTTTTTTTTTTTTTGAGATATTTCAAGCTCAATTATTTTTGACTTGTGAAAATATTATGTTCGTCACCGGAAAATAGCATATTGCATTGTATATACGGATTCCGGTTGATGATGATAAAAATGAAAAGCTGATGAATGAATTGCAGTTGAATAGAAATATTAATAAAGGATTTATAAAATATTTAAGTATTTGATTTAAATATTTGAAATTTTATCTTCCTTTTTGAAATTATTGACATTTTATTTTAAAGCTATTCGTGGTATTAGTTGGTCCACAAAAAGATCGCCATGTTCGTCTAATACCAATGGCTGCGCTTGATGGACGTGATTTAAAATGGATTAAAGTGGCAGAAACAAAAGGTTGTCATTTGATGACAGTGGGTGCTGGTAGCTCAATTGATCCATGCCATTATTTTTGTGTTGCGATAAAAAAATCGGTATAGTTTTTTTTTTTTTTTTTCTATCAGAAATTTAATTAAATAATTTAAGATTTAAATAACATATGTAAGAATCTTAATAATATTTTATGGTGTCGATACCTTATGTAGGAATAAATAAATGTATTTAATTTGGATGATTTTAAGGTTTGAGCAATTTGTTTTAGTAATATTTCTTAATAACTTTTTAGGAACAGAAATGTTAATTAATATTTGAGTAATAATGCTTTATATTAAAGGCACTTTATTTTTTTTTTTATTAAATTATTTAAATTTTGATTAAAAAAATAAGAAAATTTTATTTTTAGAAAGTTTTTCTAAAGTCTTAGAAAAAAAATTAATTTTTTATCTGTATTTTAAATCTTTCGAATTTTTTGTTCAATGAAAATTGCTCTTTCAGTGAAGATTGTTTTGATAGATTTAAATTTAAGAAAAATTTTTAAATTTAAACAATTTCTAATTTATTACTGTGTAATTTTCATGCTTTTTTTTTTAAGGTGCTTGTTTTCCAAATTGATCGAAGTGAAAAAAGACATCGAAAAGTTCGAGAATTAGCAATGCCCGGTCAACCACAAACAATGACGGTAATGCGTGGTAAGCTATGCGTTGGTTATCCGTCCGGTTTTCGCATGTGGGATCTCATAGATAACACTACTACCGGTATAACTTAATTTTCATTTTTTTTTTGAAAATTATTAAAAACTTTAAATTTTTTAAATGAGATTTAAGAAATTGTAATTTCTTATCAAAATTGATTTGTTTATTTTTTAAGATGTCTTATGTAATGCTATTCATACTACTTGTTTTATAAAAATATGTGTCTAATTTCAAGAATAAAAAAACCAAAATTAAACTATTATTATTCTCATAGAAGAATGTTGTTAATTCAGTTGTTCAATTATATTTATTCAAGTTTTTTTCACGTAAATTTCAGCATTGGTGAATTTCGAAGATTCATCACTTCAATTTCTTAATCAGACATTATACGATGCTCACTTAATCATTAATGTTAGCGGGTATGAGCAGAAGGAATTTCTTTTGATATTCTCACGTCTTGGTGTTTACGTCGATGCACAAGGTAAATTTATAGTTTGTCTTTTAAATCAAAATATTTAAAAAAATTCTTACCTGTATAATGGAAATATTTGTGGGATTAGTTGAAGTATGCATGTAACTATAATTAGATCATAACCATATGATTTAAGTAATTCAGAAATTAAATGGCAATCAAATGGAAATTTATCGTAGTTGATAAAAATTTGTTAGGAAAAACATTGTTTTTCATTATTTTTATGTTAATTAATGGTTAATTAAAGTGAAATTCGGAATTTTTTTTTCTTAATCAATACTCTTTCAGGTCGTCGATGTCGTTCACAGGAATTGATGTTTCCGGCTGAAGCATCATCGAGTGGTTTCGTTTGTATAATGCCACATTTGTGTGTTTATTCGGCTAATGAAATTGATGTTTTCAATGTGAATAGTGCTGAATGGGTTCAAACTATCAATTTGAATAAGGTTTTATTCAAAAAATAAAAAATAAAAGAAAAAAATTTATAAACTAAATGTAAGATTAGGTTGCTTTTTTTGTTGAAAAACGAAACAATGGAGTGTAGCTGTATGTGCAAATATCTAAAACAATTTGAACTGTTTGATTCTGAAAATTTCAAAATTGGAATTTTGATTATTTAATAGGCTTAGGTATAGATTTTTTTCGTATTATACAATAAGTTCCTATAAGTATTATATCATTTCTATAAAATCTGTAGTAGTTGTAAATTAAAGTATAATGTTTTTACATTTTTTAAATCTTAAACTTCTGCTTAACTTAATCTTTTAATTCTCGTACCAAAACACTTTTTGTTTATGAAATTTATGAAATAAGAAAATATTATTTTATTAATGTTACTAATGACAATCTGTTGTGATAATAATCTAATATGATATGATATGAGCTATCTGTTGATAACCTTCTAAGAAGGATATATTTCACTTTTAGTCTGAATTACAGATGAATTAAAGAGATTAATTGCAAATATTTGTATCTAATAGCTGCTTAATGGCACAAATGTTATATGATAAAATGTTGAATGCATTTATATTTGCATGAAATATGCATTTCACTTAATTTATGTTACAATTTAAAATATGAAATAATTTTTTTTCCTCGTTTAGGCATTCCCATTGACCAGTAACGGGTTATTGACAATGTGCATGGTAAACGATATGCCATATGTTGTGTTACTTTCGGATGTACTCTCAGGTAGTATTCGATATTCATTTGCATTTTATATAAAGTTATAAATTATTTATTATTATAATACCTTCGAAAAAATAAGAAAGAAGTCTAACTGTTCTTTTTTATCCCGTAAAATTAAGCATTTATACTAATTGTTGTTTACTATTTCATGCTTAATTATTACTTAATTAATACTTTACATACTCATTATTCAACTGCTTGAATTGCTTCAACTCATTATTATTATTAAAAAAATTCATTCTATTAGAATCTTATCGATTAACTATCTTATAATTGTTTATCATAATTAATTAATCATCTAGTTATTATGTTTAATTTTTTATCCATTTGGCTCATACTTCTATCTTACTTTTGTGTTTTTCTCTCATTCTCATTCTTTCTTCATTTTTTTTTACTAATTTGATTGTTAATAATTTATAGATGAAGATGCAGTAAGTATTCCGGTTTGGACATCGTCCAGCGTTTCGAATACGTCAGCACTTTCACTGAAAGGTATGGCAGCGAAACGTCGACGAAAATTCTCCGTACGTACATCACGTGATGATGATCGACATGGAAGGTATATTTTATGAGATTTAACGAAAATACTGTTACAACATTCTCTGTGGGATGAAAGAAAGTTTTTTAAATTTTAAATCATTCCAAAAAAAAAAATTTTTCTTTCTTTGACTAATTTTTTATTATATTTTTTTGATAATATAATATAATATGTGACGAAGTGAATGATTTTTGTTTGTTTAGTTATGAGCATATATACTTTATCTATTAAACTCCCAAAAAAATCACTCGATTGATGCTATAAAAAAAGAATATTTTTCAAAAAATAAATAAAGTGTCAATTTTTCATTTTTTAAATTTTTTTTTTTTTTTTTTTTTAGAATTGCTGATCGTCGAAGCCAGTTACCAATTAGTGGTCCATCCGATTTTGTTCATATCGTTCATATGGGTCCTGGAGCAGGATTGGAATTACAAAATTTAATGGATTTAAAACAACTTGGTTCTGCTACTCATTCACAAAGTAGTTCATCTGTTGGAACCGGTGCTGCTGATAAGGTATGCTATTTTTTATCAATATGTATTTTATCAATGTTTAAAATGTTATATGATTATTAGTATTATTTATGATATAGCATTGCTTTTTAGCTGTAATTATTTCTTCCTAGATTTTTTGTTTGCATGACATCCTTACTGTATGTATTTTATCGTGAAATGATGAGCATGTTATGTTGAAATTTTTAGTATAGTAATAACAGAAGTGATGTTGTTATTGTTATTGTTTTGTTTTTTTATTCTTTCAGTAAATAATTTGCTTTCTTTAAATAATTAACATTATGATTTTATGAAAATTTCCAATTTTCATCTTTTCTTTCATTAAATATTTCCGAATTTTTCATTAATTTAAATTTATTTGTAAGTTATCGATTTACTGCAAAATATTAATATTATATATGCTTGGATATAATTTGACATTATTTCAAATACCTTACTAACTAACTTTTTACTCATTTACTCACTCATTCTCATTATAATCTATCTAATTTTTTATTTATTTTTGGTGTGCTCTGATAACGATTTAATTCTAAATTTGACAGGTACGTCAACTTATTAATCCAATAATGCGTTCGGGCAGTACAACAGCAACTAATTTGCATGGTACGCAAACTTTAAGTAGTATTTCTCGACGTGATTTTGAGTTGATGCAATCAAAAACACGCCCATTGAGTTCGCATAGCAAAAGCTCAGATGGTAAGCTTTGTAGTTATCATCGAGAAAAATTATACTAATCAATTTATTGCTACATAATATATTTAAAAAAAAGAAATAATATATGAGCTTTGTTTTTTTTTTTTTTTTCATAATAATTCTTTTATTTCTAATTAATATAATATTGGTGTTAATTGATTGGTGATGGTTACATTATTGGCTTTATAATATATATTCGTTATAAATACAACATTTTTTATTTGCATTGTTTTATTTTTTTTTTTTCATTTTGAAAATTAGTTTAGGATTTTTTTTTTTTTTTTGTTGCTTTGTTTCATTTTTGTTCCTGTTTTTCCTTCTTCTTCTGTTCTCTCCTTTTCATTAATTTGTTAACTTAAGGTTCTTCGCTAGGACGTAATGGCATGCTTTGCACAGCTCAATTAACAAATCAAGAAATTCATACTGTGGTATGTTGCATGCATCAATTATCTCTTATTTATTTTGCTTTCTATGCCATATGATTTGCTTTAACCTTTTAACTATTTAAAATTTAACTTCGAGTGAAATAAGCTTTTTTCCCTTTTTCCTTTTTTCCTTTTTTTTTTTTTTGATTTTCTGAATTAGCAGCAGAACTTGAAATTAAAGGAAATCATTTAGAAACAGTATCTTTTTACAATTTGTAGTTTGATTAAATTTGAAATTTGAATCATTGAAAATTTATGATTAAATAGATCATAGTTCAATGTATATGCTGTTAAATTCATTCCATTCTTCCATTATAATAGCTCTGTGACTCTTTAATGAAGTTAATCTGGTATCTTAGAGGAGCAAAAAAAAAAAATGAACGATCTGATCATACATGGCGACTTAAGAGACTAATTCATGATTATTTTTATAAGTATAAGAAAATTAATTTTAGAAAAAAAAAAAAAAAGAATATATTTGCATGTTGATTGAGCTTTGGCAATAGAATTTCTTTTAGCTTTTGAAATTTTCCAACAAAAAAAAAAATTGTAAATAATATGTAAGAATTTATATGCAATTTCTTGCATATATGCGAATTTTAAAATAGGAATATTTTCATTTTTTGCAAATTTATTTAGGATTTAAACAATTTAAAAGTGTATCATCATTATAGGAACATCCGGGACAAATACGACGTCCTATGAGAACAAATTCACAAATGGCAACAACAATCCAAGCATCAGCAGCAGCAGCGAATCGAAATGAAGTAGCTCGTATATAGTATCAATTTTTATAAATAAATTTTTTTTTATCTTACATACGCATTTGACTTTCTCAAAAAAAAAAAAACAGCTCATTGTTACACAAAATTTTTTTGAAAGTATATGATTATTGAATTTATAATAATTTTGTAATGAAATTTGAAAATACTGAATTTTCTTTTCTTTTTAAATTTTTTTTAAAGCTGTGTTATGCCTATGTAAAATAACAGGTTATGTATTTTTTTTTTTTTTTTTTACTAAAATTTCTTCTTTCAATTTAATGCTTTCTCTCAGAAGTTATTTTTTATTTTAGGAATATGAATTTTGTATAAGTTTGCATTACAATAAATTTTTTTTCTTTTTCTCTTGCAAAATTAATTAATAAATTTGCGATTGTTTACAAAAAATATCGTCATAAATATGCAAATTTGTATTCTTTTATGATTAAAAATTCTTTTTTATGAGCATATAGGCAGACATTTTTTTTTTTCGTTAATTATTTTGCTTTGGTTGTGATTATATTATGTTATGTTGAATAGAGAATGCTATTATTATCAGCATTTGAAATGTTTATATATCAAATTTTCAAATTTTTTTTTCGGGGAATTTATATCGATCTACTCTTTGTATATTTCTTGAATATCGGGAAATTTTTAATTGTACATACTATCGGGTACAAGGAGGTTTTTTTTTCTTTCTATTTCCTTTCTTTTTTCTTTTCTTTTTTTTTTTTTTTTTTAATAAATATTGGCAATAAATAAAGAGAGAGAATTGTACAAGTGGATCGTTTAGTAGTTCTTTTATTAAATTTATGCTATAATTCTAGTTACTTATTACTATTATTATCATTTTTATATTATTATTATTACTATTATTGGTGATTTAATCAATTGTTTTAGCTGCTATGAAAGAAATGAAATTATTATTTATTATTGCTGCTATATTTATTTAATTATTTCACTTCATTTATTTCAATTTCTATCTCTTTTTTTCATCCTTTAGAAGATTCTTTTTCATGTTTTTTTTTTTTGCCAAATTTTGTTTTATATTGTATGAGCTTTATTGGTTGTTAAAATTTTACATTGTCAATAAATCAATCAATTTGATCGATCAATTGACATTTGTTTTGTTTTATTTGCTTAGTATTTCACTATTTCATCTCTTTTTTTCTGCTTAATATTGCATATCATTTATTATTACTATTATTGCTATAATAATAATAATAATTATTATTATAGACACAAATATCCTTTCTCCATCTTTCTTTCTCTTTCCCTCTCTTTTCTTCATTTTTATTTTTCATTCGCTTTGTAAAATTACAGAAAAAAGAATTCTCACTTTGAAAATCTTTCCACTTTATTAATATGTTTACTTTTGTAAGAAGAAAATGTGAAATTATAAATAGATGTTTTTTTATTTTTATTTTTATTTTGCATAAATTCTTAATGCCTATTGATAGTTTGTTTGTGTTTGCTCTATTACACTTCATTTTATACTAAATATTCATAGGGATTTAATCTTTTTAAAAAATTTTTGCATGTGATTTTTTTTCCTCCTCGAGTCTGTATATTTTCATGCTTTTTAATTTAATTTTTTTTTTCAAAACGAAATTATTCTTTTGCCAGTTTAAAACTAGGGTTCCAAAAAAAAAAAAATAGTTCCATATCTTCTTGATGATTCTTAATATTTTCATTTCTGTTTTTTCTTTCTTTAAAAAATTTTTTTTTTTTTTGTTTTCTTGTTTTAATTATAAGTAATGTGATGTTTAATAATTGGCTGCTATATGTGTATGTTTTATGCTTGTGTGTGTGTATGTGGTGTATGTTTTCCAGTTTTAAATTTTATTTTTATAAATTTAATTTCGTCTTTATTTTTTTCATTTCGTTTGCTTAATTTTACTTTCTTGCTTTCTTTTTTTTTTGATGACGTTTACGAGTTTATTATATTTTTTTCTTTCTTTCAACTTTATTTTTTTTTCTTTTGCCTTTTTAATTTTTCTAGAAAAGGATCTAAGCAAGAGAAAAATTGGAAAAAAAAAAATTCTTTTTTCATTTATATATGTATACAGATGTACTTTCTCTTTCTTATTTTGCTAAAGAAAGAAATATGATAAGAAAGAATTAAAATTATACTTTGTATTTAAATAAAATCAAAAAAAAAAAAAAAATTGCATTAATATTTACAGTGTAATAGAGGCCAAGATGATATTTTAAAAAAAGACTATTTTAATTAATTGATTACATGCATTTACATTTAGTATTAATTTTGCTATTAATTTGTCAACTTTGTAAGTAATTTAGGTAATTGTTAAATTTCTAAGATTTTTTAAATAAAAAAAAATCAATTAACATATAATATAAATGTTAATAAAGAAACTATAAAGAGAAATAGAATGAATGAATTGATTTCAATTTCATATTATTGCTGTTCATTTGGCTGTTTCTTCATTTGATTAATTAATTAAATGTATTTACTAATTGCAAAATTTTCTGCAACAATTGATTTAAATGTAATTTTTTAGCTAACAGTCAATTCAAATGCATTTGTTGAATTGTTATGTATTAACAATTCTGATGAAATTTAAATTTGAATCTAAAAGCAAAAAATTTGGATGTAACTTTAAATTTTTATTATTAAAAGTTTGCTAATTATTCAGAGCGATAGAAGGGTAATATATTTGTTTTATTCACATTTATATAAAAATAAATCGAAGATGGAAAATAATTGGTTTCTTACAATTTACAAGTTAATTATGAATAAAAAAGAAAAGAAAAAATGATGGCAAACTTTATGTACACCAAAACAAAGCTATGATTTCTCATTTTAATTTCAATATTTTTCTATAATTTTCAATTTCCCATAAATGAAAATTTCATTTATCATTTAATGATGTTTGAAATTAAAAATGTGAGATTTTTTTTTTACAATTCAACTTTTTACTTTTTTCAAAAATTTCTAAAATTGAAATTGTTGAAACTATTTCTTCAGAAAATATTATATAAATTAAATCCAATTTTGAATTTATTTTTGATTAATTTGATAAATTGATGTACAAAATTAATATTTTTGTATTATTTCATCATTTATGCATAAATTTTTATCATTAAATTGGCAAAAAAAAAAACGAATGAAAAGAAGAAAACGGCTGATTAAGAATACAAATTGATTTTATGTTATAATTTGAATTATTATTTATCATAACTAATTTTATGAATTTATAGAAATGATTAAAAAATTTTATTTCCTGTTTACTTGATGAATGTATTAGTTAAATCGAGTAATAATGTACATTCATTTTTGAATTTGCAAAATTTCGCTAACAATTTATAACGATTTCGATCATATCGTAATTCATGCACTTTATCATTGGTTTTGTTATCAGGAAATAAATATAGACGTCCGTAATCATTATCACTAGAATTAAATGAATGCTAATTTGACTTTCTTTTTTTTTTTTGAATAAATAATTTTGATAAAATATAATTTACAATTTGTTAATTGGTAAAAATTAAAAGAAGTTTGATTAATTTATTCAAATTTTTGAAAAATAATTGCTTAAAAAACAAATTTGAGATTGCTGCAATTTTTTTTGATAATTATATTAGCAAGAAAAAAGTACAAAAAAAAAAATAAATAAATAAATTAAAAAAAAAAAAGTTAATAAAAAAAATGAAAAAAGAAAGAAAATGACAAGAAGTATAAATGGAATATTTTATAAATTAAATTTTTTTTTAGTTAATTAATTCCGTATAATTTGAATGTTAAATTCACCTTTTCAATTAATTAATTTTGTCTAATTCTTAAATAAATAATATATTATATATATATATCATCATTATTAATTAAATAATATGAAACTAATTAATTGTATAATAGCAGCCATATATATTATATTTTATATTATATCAATTAAAATTTCCAATTTTTAATTTAATATATGTAATTTTTAAAGAAACATATTGAAATAATTGAAAATTTACATTAATAAAATTACTATATTACAAAGTGCAAATTTGAATGCATCAATTAAAGTTTATTAATGTTTAAAAATAAAAATAAAATTATCATTTTATCAGTAGATAAACATAAAAAAAAACGAAAAACAATTGAAAAATAAGTTAAAGTAACTTACATTAATGAAATCGTTGCATTACGAAGCACAAATCTGAGTGCATCAATTAAAGTTAATGAATTTATCACTTTATCAGTAATAAAATTTTCAATTATTTCACTATTATTTGCATAATGTCGAATGATTACATTTAATTGAATCATTGAATCACGGCGATGCTTTTTTGATCGGAGCGTATTATTCTAAAAATTTTCCTTGAAAATTATTTAAAAATAAAAATTTATATTTACATTTCAAAAAAAAAAAAACGATTAATCCATTATATACTTTGTATCTTTTTCTTTTTATCAATTAATTAATTAAAAAATCCATTATATTAATTGGCCGAATATCCACTCTATTAATATTAATTAATAACATTCTTTCAATATTAATTATAAAATTCATTCTATCATAATTAATTAATTAATTAAATGGTGCATTTCAAATATTTTAGTATCATATTTTTATTGCATACTTTTTTTTATAGCATAATAAAATATTATATTACTTAAATTGCATTATTTTTTATTCATTTATTATAGTTATTAATTCGTTCTATCACTTTTTTTAGCTTTCCTCTAATTACATCAATAGCAGTAATATTAGCTCACTCCTAATTAATTAATTAATTAGTAAATTAATCAACTTTTAAATTAAGTAGCAAAGATTTGAATGCTTCACTGTGAATTAATCATTATTTTTTCAATAATAATTGCATTCATCAAATTGATATTTTCAAAATTTCATCAATTTGCCTATTTTAAAAAACTTCATTAATTTCAATTATTTTACCCATTTTAAAATTCTAAAATTTTATTCAATGAATAAAATGTAATACTAATTAGTCCAATTTGTTTACTAATTATAATTTCAGATTTTTCATTTATTTTTTCTGTTTATCTGCTCCATAATTTGACTTCCTTTTTTTCTTTCCTATCATTATCAGTAAATATTCATTACCAATTCTTTGTATCGATTGATATTATGATCGATTGATTGTTTATAACTTTCCAAATTATCATAAGCTAAACATTCATTCTAACAAAAAATTTTTTCATTGAAATTTATTTAAAATTATATTTGTTATTAAAATTTATTTACTTATATTTTCGTTTACATAATTTCTTCTTTCCGTTTTGAAAATTCTAAAATTTCAATTTTATTTTTTTTTTTAAAAATTTAATTTGTTATAAAATAGAACTTTTAAAAAAGAAAGGTTAAAAAAATTAAATAAAGAATTCAAATTCTGAAAAAGCTATAATAAATAACGGAAATTTTAAATTTCTGAAAAAAAATTATACTTTTTGAAAAAGGAAAAAAATTCAAATTAAAAAAATAAATTTTTTAAATTTAAAGAAAATTTAAAGAAATTAAAACTTTGATTTTTCGTACTATCACATTGTGTTTTCTCTTCATTTTGCATCTTTTGCTCGGATTCAGAATACTTAAAAAAACAATCATTGAAAGGATAACTTTCTGTTTTTTTTTTTGAAATTTTATAAATTTATTCTTTTTTTTTACAGTAAAAACATTATCTTTTGCGGTTTTAAATTAATTAATTAATTAAAATCAGTGATAATTAATTAATTTTGTTGAACTTTTATAATTTTTATAAATGTATCAATGATCATTTATTGATTTGAATGAAAATTTTACGCTATTTCTACTAAATCTTTGTTCATCTTTCATCGTTGATAATTTACTGATAGTTGAATTATCTGTAATATTCACTTCGTTTTTCTTTTTTTTTTTTCAAAACTGATTCAATTTTTGAAGAAATTTATATTTTTTAAATTTGGCAAATGAAATTTGTAAATTTCATTAATTAAACATTGATAGAAAATTTATAATGACTGAATAAATAAACAAACATTTTTAAAAAATAAAATAAAAAGGGTAGAATTATACCTGCTGACGAAAATGAATTATCATCCTTAATTGTTCTTTCTGCTAAAAATTATTTTGATTAAATAATGTGAGAAAAAAAAAATTTCTTTTTTCATAATCAAACTTTTAAAAATAATAAAGCTTATCAAAACTTAAAATACAAATAAACTTAGCATGGAAATGTTAACTGATATCATTTTAAAATGTTTGAATTTAAATTTATATTAAATATATTTTGAAGTGTTACTCATGGGCAAACAAAAAATTTAGTATCAAAAATTTTAAATTGTAAAAATGGTATGCCCTCAACTATTGTTTTCATTATGGCTTTAACATTTTCAATTTCTATATTACTATATTATTTTTAATCAGTAATATCTATTTAGCCTGGTAATTTAAGCCTAGTGAATGTAAGCATATGGCCCAGCAATTCTAGTATGATTCTCGAATGTAATATTAGCCTAGTTTGTAGGAAATATATGTTTGTATTATTACTGGAATTATTATACTAACATCACTAATCAATAATATATTTAAGTATATAGTCTAGTAAAACTCTCGAATGTAATATATTAGCCTAAGAAATTATTAAATCAATATATTTAGTTAAAAATTTCATCAACCATATAGCTGTATTAATTTTAAAATTACACAAAAGCAACGTTTATTAAATAATAGTTCTTTTTGTTTTATTAAAATAGATGGAATAAAAGTTTTCGATTGATGAAAACTTTTTCAATTTTAACTTTTTCAAAAAAATTAACAAAATTAACTTTTCCTATCACTTTAAATTAATAATAGAAATTATATTCATTATTGTAATTCAGGCTATAATAATACTTAAATAATTATTTTTCATTATTTTTTACTACATTCTAAATTGTTATTAGTGATTGTAACAAAATTAACTTTATTAATTCTAAGTTTAATTAGTTACCAATTTCTTTTTTTAAACTATTAATGATAATTAATAACTTTTCAAGATAAATTTTCATAACTAAATGCATTTATCCTTGTTTAATCAAATATTGCAAAATAGAAAAATCATTGTTTAAATTTGAATTAAATTTAAATTAACTCTTTTGATTATTATTTCAAATATTTTAATCATATCAAAAAAAGAAGAACTCTACAAACTTACTAATACTTACAGCTTAAATGTTCTATATTATTACTTTTTACTTTCATTTCATTTGATAACGACCTTTTTCGTCTTTTTTGCTTCTCCCAATCGAGCACAAATGAATAAGTTGGTCTTAATTTTTAATTACTTATTTTAATTTTAATTATTTCAATTTTAATTTATTACAGATTTTATACATTTTTGATATTATTTGTTTTTTCTTTTTTTTTATGCAATTATTTATTTCTTTAAGTAATGAAATTACTAAATAACCGTTCTTTTGCTCAAATAGAGAGTGTGAATAAAATTGAAAATATGAAATGATTCACAAAATATAAAAATTTAATGCAGTTTTGATTTTAGAATATTTTCATTTATTCATTATAAATGAATTTACTCATTTACTGTTCTGCAATTTAAATTTTTTTGTAAAATATTTATGTTTTCTAGAAAAAAAATTTTTGAAACTTAACAATTTTGCTAACTTTGTAGTTATCACTGATTAATAAATTTGATTATAGTGCGAGAAATTTCATTACTGAATATAATTTAGTTAATTAAAAATTTGTGACTTCGTTTTTCATTTTTGTTTTATCTTTTTTTTTGCCGAAAAGAATTAAAATTTAAAATGCAATTATTATATATTCAGTTGAAATTTATTAACAGAATATGATTTTCATAAAAAATTGATTTACAATAAATATCTTTTTTCCTTTCACTTATAATAAACGTACTAAAATTTTCAGTTTATAATTTCATACATGAAAAATCATTTAGAAATATTATAGTATATAATATTATTTAAATTTAATATTTAAGTACAACCTTATATAAAAATAGTAATAGATATCATGCTATTTATCAATCCAATCTTTATTAATGTATAAATTTGAAAGAAAAAAAATTTCCTAATTCAAATTTTAAATTTAGTACATAAAATGTATAATAAATAATTTCAAAAAGAAAAAAAAATTGAAAAAACCAATTTGCTTTTTAGGCTAAAATTTCAAATTAAAAAAAAAAAGTTACAAAAAACAAATGAATTTCTTCAAGTATGTTAAATAAATAATATTGAAAATTCTTTTTTTTTCCTTTCTATTTTTTTTACAAAATCATTAATTTAAATATAAAATTTAGTTAAAATGGTTAAGCAAATTTTTCTCATAAATTTAATTCGAATTTAAAATGATTAATAAATAAGATAGATTAATTATTACCTTGAATAAGGTGGTACAGAAATTGATAGGGTAAAACCACTAATACGATTATTTTCATCATATTCAAAGGTCATCCTACTCCTATCTCTCTCTCTCTCTCTCTCTCCCTCTCTCTTAAATGGACAACCGTTCACCTTGTGATTATTTTCTTGAAATGAGAAAAAAAAATAATAAATGAAACATAAATTTTGTTTTTTTGAAATGTTTTAAAAAATTATAAAAGAAAAATTAAAATTTATTTTGATGAAATTAGCCAAAATTCATAAAATTTGCATATAATTATTAAATACGAAAATTTATTTTATTTCATTTAATAATTATTTCATATAGATTTATTATGCTAATATTTAATCATTTATATATAATTAATTATTGCTAAAATTTATATTTAATTATAAATTATAACCATTCATAGATGATTACAGATTATTATAAAATTTAATTAATAAAAATTAGAGACAGTGCGCAATTTTGTAAATAACAAAAAAAAAAAAAAAGAAAAATTTGTGTTGCTAAACTTTAAATCAATAGAAAATACTTTTATTAATTTCTTATTTTTTAATTTTTATTTGCTTTTTTTTTATTTTTTATTTTTTTAAATTGTATTAGTATTCCTATGCTTTTTCTGCATTTTTATTTTAGTCCAATTTATTTTTATTGAAATTAAAAAATAATAATAAATTTATTATTAATGATTAATCTCTGATCAATTAGTTTCATATAGCAGAAGAAATGGAGAGAAAGAGAGAGAGGGAGAGAGAGAGAGGGAAAAAGAGAGGAGAGAAAAAAGCGAAAAATATAATTCTTTAATGGAATAAAACTAATAAATCATTTTTGTTTGAACTTTTTTTGAATTTAGTACATTTCATTATCAATTAAAAAACATTAATAATTTATATTTCAATTTGTTTGCTTTTTTTTTTCGCACTCCAAAATTTTTGATATTTTATAATATTTGAGAGACAAAAAAAAATTATTTTATTAACACTAAAATTAGAATTGATAAATTATAATGCAAGAATAAAATTAAAATTAAAAAATTCATCTTTATCTTAATATTTTACCAACTATTTGTTATCATCATTAAAACAATTAATTATTTGTATATTTCATTAAGAGAAAATAAACATGAAAAAATAACAATATAATATAAAAATAATTTCAACTTTTTTTTTTAATAACTTTAATTTTGCTAATTTAATAGTGAAAATTTAATTTTATTATTTTAATTATTATTAAAATGTTGATATAATGATAAATTCATGCTTTATTTACCTTACTATATAATAATTTCATTTTGTTTACATTCAAATGAATTATATACACAAGCAAAATACACTGCCGACTTTATAATTATTTACATTGCAAGCAATTATATTCCAATATATACCGGTAATTCTATACCTATTTCTCTCTCAATATTATCTGGCGGTACTTTTTATATGTTTGTTTATCTTTTGAAATGATGATTAATCAATCAAATTGCACAATAATTTTCATCATAATTCATCTTCCTTCCTTTTCTTTATTCCAATTTCTTTTCTCATTTTTCTTGTTTTATTTTTATTTTGCTTATAATTATTATTAAAAGCTTCATTTTCTCAAGTTCCTACTTTCTTTTTTTTAATTTATTGCTAAAAATTTTACATTTAAATTAATTATATCAATGTTCTCGATTTCCTTTTTATTTAATCTAAAAATAAATTATTACTATTGTATAGTTTATCATTAAATTATCATTAAAATTAAATCATTACCATTTATCTTATAGCAATATTTATTAATTCCTTTGCTCCTTTTTTTATTTTAGTTAAACTTTGTCTAATTAATTAATCCTAAATGATTATATTCACGAATATGCCGTATAATCCATCTTATCACACCGAAACAAAAAGCACCGATGGATTCAAATATTAAAAATTAGATTAGCAGTTGAAAAAATTTGACCTCTTGCATATACTTATGTTGTTAGCTTAGAATTTCTTGAGAAATTATCCGATAGTAACAGATATTTGATCCATCCGATCGAATAAAATATCAGCAAATTATCATAACTTGAACATCTGATATTGATTGAAAAAAGAAAATTGATAAAATTTTTTAAAAGTCTTCTTCCATTCAAAGCTCCAAATCAGTTTTAAATTTCAAAATTTCAATAGAAAATTAATGATTCTATTTTTTGAATGATAAAATTTGATAAGATTTATTACATTAACATTAGTACACTTTTTTAGAAAAACAAAGTATGCAAGTTACACATAATTATTACTCAATACCAACAAAAGTATAAGTAATTTATGTGAATGTAAATATTAAAAAAGCTAAAAAAAAAAAAAGAAAATGGAAAGAAAAATAGAAAAAAACGAAATAAAGAAAGCATTAGTAAATAACATATGTATGTATATATATGTATATATATAAATATTAACAAAGTAACATTATAAGAAAAAAGAAAACTTTAAAAAATTTTTTTAAATGGGGAAAAAAATTGGGATAGGAGGTATATGTAGAGCTTATGGAACAAAAAAAACGGATATGAATGATTTCTTTTTTCCTGAAAACAAATAAAAAAGAAAAACGAAAAAAGAAAACGGAAAATCGTTTTAACATTAATATATATATATTTCCATATATATACTGTTAACAAATAATGCTAAACACCGATTTTTTTTTGTTGTTGTTTTCCTCCTCTTTTCCTAATTTATTTCGACTATATAAAATTAAAAATGATTAATTCATGAATGATATTAGCATAATAATTTACTGATAACAATTAGGAAAACACCCGAATGCTTTCATTTAGAAATGTTTAAAAAAATTCCTTTCATATATATATGTATATAACACATCAAATAACATCAAATTTGATAATTTTAATATTGTTGCCCATTAATATTTATTATCTTTTTTCTTTTACAAAATTATTTAAATAAATTTTTTTTTTTTGAAAAAAAACTCTTTTTAATTCAAATTTAAAAGAGAAAAAGGAGGAAGAGAATTAAATCAAAAAAAAAAAAAAAGCGATCATATATCAATTATACATTACTGTTATACGAAAATAAATTTAGGAGAAAAACGCTTAATTGAGAAAAGAAAAACGAAACAAAGTAAAAATAAAAAAAAAAAAAAAAAAAAAACACTTCAATCACACAGTTATGTCATAATGCTATAATATTTGAAAGGGCACGAAAAGAAATATCAACTATAAAATTTAATTTTAATTTTGAACGTGTTCCATGAATTAACTTCAAATTGATAATATTTTTATTGATATGTAATACTAACTTATTAATTTTATACTAACTTCATAAAAGTAACTTATCAAGCAATTTTCATTTGCTCGTCAAAAATGAATTATTTACTGACTAATTCTTGGCACTATTCTTCCATTTAATCATCTAGAAAATTTATACCATTTACTTCCATGTATGTGTGTAGGCGTGTAAAATATAAATATAGGAATCTACGAAAATATACGCCTTGATAAAAGCGCAATTGTCACCTATTAATATAAAATTTGAATGAATGATCAGAGAATAACATGATGTAAATATAGAAGTGGAAAAAATGTAAACAAGAAACAAAAGCTAACAATTAAAAAAAAAAAATAATACTTCCAAAAAAACATGAGCTGAGTTAGTACTTTAAAGGAACTCTGAAATTTTAACAAAAATTTGATTAACTTAGGAAAAGATATTAATAAAATCACAAACTCTCCACACTGGTTTAACCTATAAACAATGTAAACCAGTATAGATCCAATATTTTATATTTTCGAGACATACAATTCACAAAGTTTTTGTTTTATTGCTTCCACCATGACCGGTGTGTTTGATAACATGATAGTCACTATTAGAAAATCATTGATCACCGAATTTCTCGTTAGTTCAGAAAAAAAATAAAAAATAAAAAACAGGTAAATTCGAGTAAACTTTTAAAAATCAGCAAAAATTGTCCCTAAAAATATTTTTAAACCAAAAGAAACGAAAAAAAAAAAAGATCAGAATTACGACATTTTCATTTTTACATTTCCTCCTCACCCTCATCTTCCTCTTCTTCAACAATATGTGTAATTTCAGCTTCACCAGTGAGATCAGAATGATTATCTGGCTCATTTTTCACCAAAATACCACCATTTCCCAAAACATCTTCATTCTCCAGCAACGGAAGCCCAGTGATTGATGATTGTCCTGATGATGCACCAGCAAATCTTTCCACCTGCAAAACATATGTCAATATTTCTGTATATTTCAATTATTGAATTTAAATAAATCAATAAATTTTGAATGGAATAATTTATATAACGATAAAACAGTACTATTTATGGTAGATGAAATCTGACCCTAAAACTGAAATTCAATTACATTACAATTTGAAAGTTTGAAAATATGTGAGCATAAATTATTAAATAAGAATATTTAAAATATGATACTAATTTTAAGAAAATTTTCCATATGCAACTGAAAAAATGTTATAGATGCAAAATTAACAAATACCAAAAAATCAATTTTATGACTGCAAATGAATATATATTTTGAATAAAATGTGTAAAAAAAATTTATAATTGGAAAAAAATCAATAAAATTGAAAGCAATGAAATGAATTATTATATCAATAAAATTATATCAATGAAAGAAAAAAAACACACACACACACCTCATCTTGCCCATTTTCTTCAATCATAACATCATCACCACTTGTATCACTGTCCACCGATTGATCACCATCATTTTCCATTACAAAACGTTCCTGTGTTTGATCTGCATCACATAATATACTATCATCTACACCATAATCACCTCCTTCTGCATATGATTGTGCATCTTGTTCTGGTTCCAAACCTAAACACATGTTTATAAGTTGAAAAAAAAAAAAACTTTCATTTTATAAAATTCACTTCTAACTAATTGTATGTTTTTACCAGGAGTCAGAAGAGTTTAACTTCCAATTTTTCTCTATCAAGTTATTGTATTAATTGATTCTGCTAATAAAGAAATTATTCTATTTCTCTTTTACTACACATATTTATATCTAAATCCAATGAATCTCCTCGATAGCAACCTCTCCCAAAATA